CCCACTGTCAGCAGCTACAGCCCTCCACAGGTAAGAGAATGGGTGTGCGTGCGTGCGCGCGCGCGCGCGTGTGCGTGTGCTCAGCCCCAACAGGTGAGGGGATAGAGCTAGGGGTCGAAATTAACACATGCACCAGCCACAGGTCTCCTTCAGCCCTGCCTTTCTTTCTCCTTGGCTTTGCTCTTGATAGGGGTGGATGCTAGATAGTCCCAGATCCCCTCCAAACCCTAGAGAAGACTGGGGCCTTCCCAGAATCTACCTGTTCTCCCACTACCATGGGGAGTGGGCTGAAAGCAAAGACATTTCTCCTGGCTGGGTCACTAGCCTCATGAATCCCCAAAAAAGCACTCATTTGGAGTTGCCCCTTGCCCAGGCTGGAAGGGGCTGACCCTTTTGTTTTAGGATGTGGAAATTGAGGCCTAGGGAGAGGGAGAGGCCCCCAGGCCCTGGTAATGGACTATAGGCGAGACCTTATGTCCTGCACTGAGGTTTGCTCCTGTGCCAGTTGGGCTTATTTCCAGTGCCCAGTCTCTGGTATACGCAGGCTCTGTGTAAACAGAGTACTCGTACGTCCATACCCATTGCCATTGCGTAGATTCCGACTCATAGCAACCCTGTAGAACAGAGTAGAACTAACTGCCCCGTAGGGTTTCCAATGAGCAGCTCGTGGATTCGAACTGCTGACATTTTTGGTTAACAGCCATAGCTCTTAACCATTGCACCATGGACCAACCATTTACTGAGGACTTTCCATGTGCCAGGCCTTGGAGCAGCTACCAGGATACAGGGATGAATGGTCCCAGTCCTGGTCTAACCAGAATATTTCCTAGAACAAGCTGGGCCGGCACACATTCCAGCCCCAGGCCAACGACAGCCCAGTTTTGTGACCTTGGACAAACAGCTTCACCTCTGAGCCTCGTTTTCCCACGTAAAGGACTAGGGCTGTTACAGAGTTTGTTGTCAGGGGTGGGTGGCATTGTAGCTTAGTGGCTAAGATTGTAGGCCCTGGAACTGGACAGAGCTGAGGTCTGCTCCCGGCACTGACACTTTTTAGCTATATGACCTCAGCCCAGAGATCTCACCTCCCTGAGCCTCAAGTTTCTCCTCTGTAAATGGGGTTAGTAACGGAGCCTGCATCACAGAACTGATAGGAGGACTGGGGGTGTTCATGACATGTCCTGACCTGGGGAGCACTTAGGAAACCGCCTCTCCTGGTTTTCTCAGGAGGTCTTCCAGCAACAACTGCCACACTTACGGAGGGCCTGGAGGCCGTGTGTGTGCTCAGTGCTTTGTACACAAGCTCACTGCTGATGGATTGCCCAAGGTGATCCATAGGGGGAAGTTCTGTTGTGATTCTCATTTTACAGAAAATTGGGATTTCAAGAGATGCTGTGTGCTTGCTCCCCAGGCTCTCAGAGCTGGGATCAGAGTCAAGAACGTGGCTCTTAACCCCTGCCGTGTCCTGCACGGTGATGGAGCAGACCCCCCTACTTGTCAGCCCCCAAACGACCTCTACCAGGGACCTCCTTTATCAGGCAACTGCTTCTGAAGGCCCTTTCTCCATCCCAGCCATGAGCTGGCTATTTCACAGCCCTGCTGTTTTTTTCCCCAATTTCGCAGCCGAGTTACAGCCAGCCACCCTACAGCCAGGGAGGTTACACCCAGGCCTACACAGCCCCACCACCTCCACCTCCGCCACCACCTGCCTACAACTACGGGACATACGGCGGGTACAACCCGGCCCCCTACACCCCGCCGCCACCCCCCGCCGCACAGACCTACCCTCAGCCCAGCTATAACCAGTATCAGCAGGTAGGTGTCAGACTGGGAGCCGACTGGGTGGAGAAAACTTCAGGGGCCCCACCTGGGTGTGTATTCCCAAGCTTGAGTCCCTGTTGAGCCCTAAAAAGATGGCAGCCTGCTGGTCTCGGTGCTGGTGCTTATCGGTACAGCCGTTGGGTTGGTAAACACTCCTGAACTGTGTGCTGAGTGACCAGTGTCGCCGCCCCTCTGCACAGCACAGTAAGCAGAGGGTGAGGTCTGGCAGAGCAGGGCCCCCCCAGAGCCTGCTTCAGCACCGCGGCCAGTGCCATTCCGATTGGCCAGTGCTCAGGCCACACCCCTCTTCCTGAATATTTTGAACATGCCATCTGGCTCTGCCTGAAAGGACACTAGGTTGGCAAGCCCGGAGACCTGGGCTGCAGTCCCTAACTGCCCACCCACGTGGCATCAGGCCAGTCATCCTTGATCCCTCTGTCCGTCAGGGGACCCAGTTGTTAGCTGCCATCACTGCAGCCGTCTCCTCCCTAGGTGAGGGGGGGTCTGGAGGAAGGCCAGCCTGGTGTGGGGGTCTGACCTCCCTCCTGTTGGCTTCCGTCTCCACAGTACGCCCAGCAGTGGAACCAGTACTACCAGAACCAGGGCCAGTGGCCGCCATACTACGGGAACTACGACTACGGGAGCTACTCCGGGAGCACGCAGGGCGGCACGAGCACACAGTAGCCTGGGCACCCAGAGGCCCCTGAGGCCCTGCCGGCCTCTCCACCAGCGCCCACTCGGCCCCTCCTCTCCCCCGCCGGGTCCCGTGGTGCTGGGGGACGGGCCCTCCCAGGGGTGCCTCCCTGCCCAGCCTCTCTCCAGCCCACTGCCTCCCCACCAAGGGGCTTCTTCCCCTACACAGGGCCAGGCTTTTCTCTCTGGATTCAAACAGGCAACAGTGACCTTTTATTTTCTGTTTGCCCCACCTCCTGCCTCGTCTTTCTCCACCTTCCTTTTTCACTAGTGAGGCCCTGCCCTCCCTTGGGAGGCTCCAGTGACTGAGGGGGACCCCTCTCACCCAGCCGTCCCGACCCTCGAGTCCCTCAGCTTCCCAGACCCTCATGCAGTTTGTTGTAAATTCTTCCAGGAGCTGTTTTACTGTCTGCTTTTCAGGATTAAAAAAAAAAAAAAAAAAAAACTTTATTAAAAAAAAAACAAAACCCATGAGTTTAAAAAAGCAAAACGTGGAGGGAGGAAGCAGTGACTTTTTTTTGTTTTTTTTGTAATTATGCTTTTTTTTTGTTTTTTTTCCTATTTTTTAGAATTTGTCAGTTTTTACTGTGGGTCGGCTGTTGGTATCTCATCAGGATAACCATCTCTTTGCGGAGTTCAGGTGACCGAGGAAGAGCCACACCCTCGAAACAAAACACACAACAAACCACAAAATCCCCTTTAACCTAACTTTTTATACGATGTCTCTCAGTTCCCCGTAACTTTGCACACAAGCTTCTGTGTCGAGTTGAATTGTAACTGCTTTTTTGTATTTGGAGAGAGTGTGACTATTGAACTTGAAACCTTTTATTCCAGGCGTCCTGGTAGTTTCTGGTGGGACGAAGCGGGTGAGGGGAAAAGAGGTGGAGGGCTCCTTCCCTTCCGGACGAGAAGCTCTCCCGCCACCTCCCTCAGAGGTCTCCAGGTCCCAGACCTGGGGGTTTTCCTACAGTGAGCCTCTTCAATTATTTTTACTTTCCCTTGTCCCTTATGTTTTAACGGGATTTTAAGAAACTGCACTTATTAAGAAATGTGTTTGCCCTGTTTCGTTTCGTTTTGTTTCAATAAATGATATGGCATCTCCTAGCAGCAAGGACGCAGGGACGGAACCCTGAGGTGTTACTGCACTTGGCTTTTAACTGGGATGGGGATCTTTTCAAGGGGCATTTATTGTTCATTAAACCAACTTGTAATTACTGAGGGCTTCGTGTGCCTGGCCCCATTTTTGGTGCTGGGGATGCCCCCTTTAGCCTCTTGGCACCCCCAGTTTAAAACTCACTAGTTGGTTCTTAAAGTGGTTCTCTGGTCCCTCACCCCTCACAGGCGATTCACACTCCAAATCCGGCAGGAAAGGTTTGAACAGAAGGTGTGAAGCAGGTCCCTGGGTGGAGGGAGAGGAAGGGGTGGGTGGTAGGAGACCAGGGCTGGTTTGTTCAGGGGCATCACCGCCATTAACTGACCGCCCCGGGGCCTGGTCTGTGCACTGGGCTCAGGATGGTCCCTGGCTGCCCTCCCGAGATCCTGGGCAGGGCTGGGGACACGGCCTGACCAGAGCAGTCCTGGACCCTGCCCTCATGGGGCTCCCAGTCCAGAGGCAAGGTGGACCTGGCACCGCACAGTGGTAGCTCCAAGTGGTCGGGGTGGGAGAGTCTGGAGAGGTGGTGAAGGGAGGGCTTCCGTAGGAGTTGATCATGAAAGGTGAGTGAACTAGGGTAGAGGTGCCTTAGATTGCAGCCTCATGGCTTACCACCCTCTTTTCATCAGCACCTCATTTATTTACTAAGCAGGTGCTGTGTTCTCAGCCTGTGGTGGGATGGTGCTGGGGCACAGGGGTGGCCTGGTCAGCCCCAATCCTATCAGGATATCCGAGCCCTACAAAGGGACACAGGCTACAAAGAGGAGGAAGGAGGCCAGTTAGTCTGGAGGATAGGTGGGGCATCAGAACTTGAGAAAGGGCCAAGATTGGTGGCCAGAGCTGCCGAGGGACCTTTGTATGCCCTCCACCTGCTTAAGGGAGAGCCTGCGAGCGGGCCACAAGTTCCCCTGTTGTTAGGTGCCATCAAGTCAATTCTGACTCACAGCGACCCTATAGGACAGAGTAGAACTGCCTCCATAGGGTTTCCAAGGAGTGGCTGGTAGATTTGAACTGCCGACCTTTTGGTTAGCAGCCCAGTTCATAACCACAAGCCACTGGGGCTCCCCTAGTCTGCGAAATTCCCTTCCTTGCTGGTCCATGTGTGGGTCAACAGCGCTCCCTGCTGTCCTCTCCTGATAACACGCCTAAATATCCGTATCCATCCTGTGGTAAATTAAAGACCTCGGTTACCTACCTCCACATCTCCAGATCCCCAGACTATGGGAGAGTAAAGTGAGAAGTGCCTTCTCTGCTCTCAGCCAGTCTGTGGATTTCTGCATCAGCCTCTTCACAGGTCTCCCTGACCCTGACCCATAGCCCCTCCTTGCCCACTGTCTCAGAATAAAAGTGCGCAAGCTACTTAATGCTGTTTGTGAGTCCATGCCTGGGCTCTGGTGACCTCACTGGCGTTACCTCTTGTTGTGCCCCCTTGGAACTTGAGATCAATGGTTTTTCGTTCTGGGGTGCGGGGGGACAGTGTCAAATTTCTCTTTAGGGATCTAAAAAAGCTGTAAACCTTGGAAAGTAAAAACTTGTGAGGTTTTCAAATCCTCTTCCTCCCAATTGTGGCCTTCAGGTTAGAACTCCTTTCCTATTCCTTGACCATTGTGAAGTCCTGGCAGCTCCCAGACTATCCATGCCTGCCATCCCCTCTAGGTCTTTGCCTTGCCCACTCACTGCCGGAGACCCTTCCTCATCGCCTGCACTTTAACTTCTGCTCATCCTTCTAGTCTGTTTTGAGGTCTCCTCCTCCAAGAAATAAGCATTTCCTGACCCCGCCCTTCCCCAGGCCTGGAGGACTCCCACTCATTCCATAGGGTAAATCAGGACCACAGCTGCCTTCTCCATATCTAAAGATCTCCATGTCCTAGGACCATAAAGTGGGAAGTTCTGCCCCTTATCTCACCACCCATCTCACGCAAGCCAGGGACTGGTGTGATGACAGAAGTAGGAGTTGAGGCCTAGTAAATACTCCCTGAGGTGGTGAAGAAATAAATGAAGGGGACAGACTGGCGTCGAAACCAGAGCACAGATCCTCAGAGTACGGCAGCCCCAGGCCCTAGGAAGGCACTCATTTAACCACCCACCATCCACTCCAAAATTAGGCATGCTGGGCGCTGAAGTCACAGCACTGAGCAAGATGAATAGTAGTCCAGATCCCTCCTGCTGTTGCAATTTTGTGGCAGTTCAGATAGGAGAGGCTGAGGGGCCCCTCTGACCCCAGCGTCCCTTTCCTACCTGGCTGCTGAGAGATGAGGGAAGCACGCATGCGCGTAGACGGCCCACCTTCGCGCCGGAACCTTGATGCCCGGGCGCAGCGGGGCACTCGGCGCAGGGAGCCTGCTCAGCCGGAAGTGACTGCTGAGGGCGTGGGGCTTGGATCGGCGTGTGGAACCTGCCGCGGCGGTTGACAAGTTGTACAAAATCAGGATGGAGGCCGTGGCGACTGCGGCGGCGGCGGGGGAACCCGATAAGGGTGAGGCTCCGGCCGCGCGGAGGCGGAGGGAGGGGGCGGCTGCGGTGTCACTAGCAAATGATTCCCCGGGAAAGTGAAGGAGGACTCTTTATAGGGGGACACCTGCCCTCAGCCTTACGTGACTCTTTCACCAGTTGTCCGGGTTAACCCCTCTCTTGTCGCAGGCTGACTTGCTAACCACCCCACCTCCAGAATTAACTTCTTCCCAGTTCCAGTTCCAAACCAACCCTTTCCATGTCCTGTGCTAACCTTTTTACTTACCGGGCTAACTCTCAGGTTAACTCAAACCTCTTTCCTCTCTTGGGCTAACTCTCCCACTGACCCAGGCTAACCTTTCTCAGATCACCTCCATATAATCCAGGATAATCTCCCCATATCAGGATCCTTAATTTAATCACATCTACAAAGACTTTTTTTTTTTTGCCATGTAAGCAAACATTCACAGGAATTAGAACGTGGATCTCTTTTTTTTGTTGGGGGGCGGATTTTTTTTTTTTTTTAAGCCTATCACAGTCTCCTTCACGGGTATGTATTCTCCCCATCTGTTCAATGGGCACTGATCATCCTTACCCCTACCCCACCCCCCCAACCTTTCATTTCCCCAGCAGTCTATGGGACACCTCCCCTTGGATGTCCCTGGGGCCATCACACCTTCCACATCCCAAACCGGCCCCAGCATCTTCCCCCAGACCTGCTCCTCTTCCACGTCCCAGTCTTAGGGACAGTCTGACTGTGCCCCAGGTCAGAGCCCTGGACTTTGTCCTGGATGCCTCCCTCCCCGCCCAGCCCTTCAGCCCCATGGCTTGTCCACTTGGCCTCCTGAGTGTCTTCCTAATCTCCACCACTCTCCACCACCCCTGCCCTGGTCCAGCTCAGTCTTCTCTTGCCTCAGTGATTCAAACCCTCTCATCACACCTGTAGCCCTCACCCCTTCTCACCTCCCTTGCCTTGCCAAGCTGCCTAAAGGAGTTGTCTATACTTTTTTGTCTTCACTTATTTCCTGCTTGCTGCAGTCTTGCTCCACTTCCCACCACTTTCAGGAAACAGCTCCCTGCAAGATTTGCCCAGCACTCAGCTTTCCTGTTATCTTTGCCTGTACTGTCTCTTTAACCTTACCTGTCTCCCTCATCAGACTGGATGCTCCCTGAGAGCAGGGGATGGATTGGATTCATCTCGTGGGTTCTCAGTTCAGAGCCTCGCATACAGTCAAGTCGCAGAATAGTGGTTAGGTCAGTGTGTGAATGAGTAAGAAAAGAGCGAGTGAATGAGTGAGTGAACAAGTTAATGAATATACTCATGATTTTGTGAACAAGTGAAAAGGCAGGCATTGGAGTGAATCAGTGAGTGAGGTGGTAAGGGACCAAGTAGACAGGCCAGGCACAGTCCGCCTCACTTTGTCCCTGCTCTTCCCTCTGCCTGGAACACTCTTGCCCGAGAAATCCCATGGCTCAGTCCCTCGCCACCGTCAGGGCTGTACTCAAATATCACATTTTGGGAAGGCCTTCTCTGACCATCCCATTTAAAATTTCAGCCTTCCCCTTCACTCCTTTATTTCTCTGCATAGCTGTTAAAACCACCTAACACACTGTAAGCTTTCAATCATTATAATTACTTATGTAATTATGTTGTTAATTGTGTGCCCCGCTAAAGGTTAACTTCTTGAAGGCAGGAGGTTTTACCTGCCTTGTTCACTGTGGTATCTCTGGGGCCTAAAACAGTGCTCCGAATATAGTGGGTGCTCAATAAATGTGAAAAGCAAGAGAGATTGAGTGCCAGTCCCTTCCTCTTTCCTTGCTGCCACCCCTGGACTGACAAATTGCCCCCTCCCAACAGGCTGCACGGAGCCCAGTCCCAGCCACTGGGGGGAGCTAAGCTGGACACCGGTCCCACCCGAGCCCCAGGACAAGGAGGCCGCCTCGGAGGGAGCACCAGGGGGTCTGGACAACGACCCCCACAGGGCCGAGAGCGCAGCAGTGAGCGCCATGCTGCAGGCCGTGGCCTCCAGCCGCCTGCCCGTGTGCAGCCAGCAGCGGGGCGAGCCTGACCTCACCGAGCGGGAGAAGGTGGCCATCCTGCGCCAGCTGTACCACGAGAAGCCACTGGTGTTCCTGGAGCGCTTCCGCACAGGCCTCCGCGAGGAGCACCTGGCCTGCTTTGGCCACTTGCGTGGCGACCACCGCGCAGACTTCTACTGTGCTGAGGTGGCCCGGCAGGGCGCCGCCCGGCCCCGTGCCCTGCGTACCCGCCTGCGCAACCGGCGCTACGCTGCCCTGCAGAAGCTCATCCAAGGTGGAGGAGCGGTGGGGGGAAGGGGGCAGAGGCGGCGGGGAGGGGAGACTGGGGCCGAGATGGGGAGGGAGAGGGAGGCTGAACGGGAAACTGAGGCCGAGATGGGGAAAGATGAGGAACCTGAGGTGGAGGTAGTGAGAAACAAGGATGCGAGAGCAGAAATGCAGGGACACTGATCCTGGGAGATAAGTTCCCGACAGAGAGATGGGGAGAGACTGAGACAGAGATGTGGAGTGGGAGAGACAGATGGGCCCAGGGGAAGAGGGAGGGTCAGAACTTAGTGGTTGGCAGATGTGGCATTTCAAGTCAGTGGGTAAAGGAGGCTTTATCCGGTGCACGGCACTGTGATAACTGACTGTCCATAAAGACACAGAGATCCCTCCCTCACAGCATTCACAAAGGTATTGAAAGAAACCAAGGGACATACGTTTATGACCCTGGGGACACGAGATCCTTCTTGAACAAGACACAGCATGTAAAAACAGTAAAGGAAGACGCTGATACTTTTTACCTTGGCATGATTAAAAGCATCTCAAAGACCCCGAACCCAAGCTAAAAGACGAGAAGAATTGAACTCTCTAGTGAGGTGAGATTCTAGTAAGAGAGGAGGCACGAGCTGCAGAGAGACAGAAGGAATGAGACACCAGGACAGGTGGGGACGGATGAATGAATGAATGGGGTGGGGTTAGGCGACAGGAAGTAAGAAAGCAGGAAAGGGGCGGAGGCACAGGGCAGAAAGAGACAGGGATAAAGGGGACAGGGAGAGAAACAGACCCAGAGAGAGAAGGTGACAGAGCTAGAAGAGGGAGACACCACAGAAAGATGGGAAAGAGAGAGAGGGCATGACTGAGGGGCAGAGCAGGACAGGACCCAGGACGCAGGGGCAACAACTGCAGGCAGAGACTCCCCAGGTCTCTCTCTGCCCTGGGCTCTGAAGGCAGGGCTCGGGCCGGTGGGTGGGAGGGACCAGGGGTAGGTTTAATTCTTATCTGAGGGAGTGAGCCGCTCCTGCAGGGACAGGCCGCCAGAGGAAAGGCGAAGAACCTGAGTTTTGAGGTGGTGGAGAAGCTGGGGCCACCCGAGGGAGTGGCTGCAGAGAGGAGTGCTCTGGGGAGAGGTGAGGGCTGGGTGCCTACCACCCCCAGGCACACATAGCTCCCACCAGGAATACTCACACATGGGCACACGCCCCAACCTCCCTGACCCTGTGTACACACACAGACACATGTACTCATGTGCCCGACAGTGCACATGTATTGAGATATGCAGCCTGCGGCCAGGCTGGGGCCCCAACAGTCAGGTGCACACAGCCTCCAAGCTTGGCCACGTGTGCAGCGCATCTCCCTAGATCGTCTGCACACCGATCCCAGTCACGTAGGTGCCCATGTGAGCAGACATGACCATGGGCGGTGTGCTGAGACACACCACAGGGGGTGTGTGTATGTGTGTGACCTGCACACCGAAACTCAAACACACACACACATACTCCAGGCGGCGCTCGTGAATACTACCCAGTACAGCTGTGCGTGGGCCCCAGACCCGCAGTGCTGCAGGCGCTCGGCTGCCTGACTGTGCGCACACGTTTGGACAGGCGAGGACACACACCGACAAGCCTGTCACGCGTACATGCTCCGCCGCATGCATGAGCACACGTTCCTGATGGCCTCAGGCATCAGACTCTTACATGTCTCTGTGCAAGCATGACCGCGTGCACACTCTTGGACACACATGACCATGCACACGTCTGACCAGGCCCGGGTGCCCCACCCCGGCCCCTCCCCTCGCCTGCACGCCTGACCCTCGCGGCCACTGTCTTCCTGGTGCAGGTGGCAAGTACTTCAGCGATGAGCAGATGCGGTTCCGGGCTCCGCTGCTGTACGAGCAGTACATCGGGCAGTACCTAACCCAGGAGGAGCTCAGCGCCCGCGCCCTGGCCCCCCAGTCCCCCAAGCCCTGCTCCCCTGGCACCCCTGTCTGCCTGCTCTCCGACCTGCTGCTCCAGTCCTACCAGGAGCGGGAGCTGCAGCAGCGGCTGCTCCAGCAGCAGGAGGAGGAGGAGGCCTGCCTGGAGGAGGAGGAAGAGGAGGAGGACAGCGACGAGGAAGGTGAGGGTGAGGAGCAGGGAGACCCCAGTGTCCGGACACTCCAGCCCAGGCCTGTCTGTCTCTCTGTTTTCTGGCAGCAGGCTGGACCTCACATGGGCAAGAGCAGACAGCACGGCCTCCTCTGCCTGGCCCTTCTCAGCCTTTCTAGGATCTTTATCCCTCAAGCAGAACTGCTCGTGCCACCCCACAGGCACTGAGTGGTCTTGCACCTCCAGGCCTTGCATGTGTTCTTCCCCCTGCCAGGAATGCCTTCCCTTCGTCCTCAGCTTCTCATCCTGTTACGCGGGCCTTGGTTCCCATAGCACTGCACTGTCAGTGCATGTTGGGTGCTTGTCTGGGAGGGCAGGCCCCAGGCTGTGCTGGTCACAGGGCTGAGCACAGAGGCAGCAGCTCCCTGTGCGTGTGCTCAGCAGCCACACACACGCACCTCATGCCTACCCGGTGGTCGTCTCCCCATGCAGACAGGAGCTCTGGTAAAGACTCCGAGGCCTGGATCCCCGACTCAGAGGAGAGGCTGATCCTACGGGAGGAGTTCACCAGCCGGATGCACCAGCGCTTCCTGGATGGCAAAGATGGGGACTTTGACTACAGGTGCTCCTGGCCCCGCACCCCACCAGGTCCCTCACTTGTGCGCAGAGGTCCTGGAACAGTTCCAGGATGTGGGCCCTGGGGTCAGACACACTGTTCCAAAGGTGGCTGGGTGACGTTGGCCCTGCTTCTTCCATCCCAGAGCCTCAGTCCCTCAGTCCACTCAACACCTCAGTCCCCTGGCTGCAGAGTCCCCAAGTCCCTTAGTCCCCTAGTCTCTCAGTCCCCCCGGTCCCCTCAGTCCCCAAGTCCCCTCACTCCCCCAGTCCCCCCAGTCCCCCAGTCCCCTGGTTCCCTCACTCCCCCAGTCCCCCC